AGCAGGAACTGTATCACAGAAACACGATCGTGTCCACACCCAAATAAACGCAGCCATACCATTTCAAGGGTGCCAGTCACTTTTTCAACAGCTAAAACTCTCTCCGTGTATTCCCAGTTCGGAATACCTTAGTATCCTAGTCCTACTCCTTTGCAGATCAACTGAGAAGTAAAAGATAAAAAGCCAGGCAAAAAACAATTGAAAGCAAAAGATCACCTTGTTTGCATTAAAGAGCCTGAGAAGCGAAACCATCAAGCGAACCAGTTCAGGTCAGGGGCAGCCACAACCCCGACCCGAACACAAGCACCGTACGGTGGGACGTCACGCGTTGAAGCAGGGCCCAGCACCTACTAGAGGGAAGCAGAAGCTGACAAAGCAGACACAGACACGTTCAGCTGAGCTCTGCAGCCCAGATCCGAACACAGCTCCACACAAAGCATGCTTTTTCCCCCTCCTCTAGCTGCTGGGCTGTAGGGAAGAGCTGAAACAGAGTATTAATGCCAGCAAGCTACTGACAAATTCCTACTGTGTAAGTAGCAAAAAGCTGTGCTTGTGAATTAGAGAAAGAAAAAAAAAACCCAAACCAATTAGCATCCAAGCGAGCACAGAGATACTTACTGCCTTGCAACTACCAGCGCGTGTTTCTTTACCGAGGCTGATCCTTATCAGCAGGTGCTTCAGCCGGCTTGTTAGTTTTGCAGAGAGTTGGGTACAGCCCGAAAACTGAAATACAGATGCACAGAGAAAGAAAACATAAGAGGAAGCTAAAAACCTAATCTCGTCGTTCTCCCGGTCTGAAACCACCCCCGAACATAAGCCTGTATGCCTAAGATGTGGGAAGGGCTCCGATTCTGGCAGCAGGGAGCATCACGTCCTCTCAGCAACGGACAGCAGTTCGCTGCGTGGTCCCACAGAACTCCCCGTCTTATCGTCAGTTCTGAACGCTGCTCCGGTTTAGGACAATAAATGTATTAACTCAATTAGCATGGATGGGGGGGGAATCGAGGTCTCTTCATCTGCGCAGCAATAGGCTACAGCTTTTTTTTTTCCTTTACAGGCTGGAGAGGTGGGCCTGCGTGAACCGCATGAAGTTCACCAGAGCCAAGTGCATGGTCCTGCACGTGGGTCGGGGCAATCCCAAACACAAGTACAGGCTGGGCAGAGAGCGGCTTGAGAGCAGCCCTGAGGAGAAGGACCTGGGGGTGCTGCTGGATGAGAAGCTCAACGTGAGCCGGCAATGTGCGCTGGCAGCCCGGAAAGCCAACCGTGTCCTGGGCTGCATCAAGAGCAGCGTGGGGCTGTTCAGCCTGGAGAAGAGCCTTCTGCAGAGAGACCTTGGAGCAGCTGCCAGTGCCTGGAGGGGCCGACAGGAAGGATGGAGAGGGGCTTTTCACAAGGGTGTGCAGTGATAGGACAAGGGGGAATGGCTGTAAACTAAAAGAGGGCAGATTTAGATTAGAAATTAGGAATAAATTCTTCCCCATGAGGGTGGTGAGGCCCTGGCCCAGGTTGCCCAGAGAAGCTGTGGCTGCCCCCTCCCTGGCAGTGTTCAAGGCCAGGTTGGATGGAGCTCTGAGCACCCCGGTCTGGTGGAAGATGTCCCTGCTGATGGCAGGGGGGTTGGAACCAGATGAGCTTTAAGGTCCCTTCCAACCCTGACCATTCCATGATTCTGTATTTTGATAGCTGAAGCTTTACTGCAAGAGCCAGCGTGTTTTACACAGTAGCAACATTAACTGATAAACGAGTCCAAAGGATAGGCACACATCCTTTCCGAAGATTTGCTGCCTAGGAAGGAAGCCATGGCCCCAGGACTGGCCCTGAGCAGTCTGTCCCCCCACCTCCACGCAGGGCTCGCTTCGGGCTGCTCCGCAGGGCCATCGCGCTGGGTCAGCTGGGCAAAGAGCAGCAGCACCCCGAGGATGCAGAAGAAAGCAGCGGCGGGCATTTCAGAGGGGAGCTCAGAAGAGTTAACACCAAAAACCAGTCATTACAAAGGACAGGTAATCTGTTAAAAATAAAAAAGATGCCAGCGCCGGGGCCTTACAAGAGATCTCCACGTGAGTTTTTGTTTTTCCTTGCGAGAGCAGGGTTGCATGCCCACTCTCCCCACTCGGCTCAAGTTTAGGTTGTTACAGGATACTTGGCTCTAAAAGCACGTTCCACCAGACACGCAGTTCTGCAGATTCCCAGCCCTCCAGGCCTCCACCCACCCTGGAACACCCAGAACAGCACCAGACTCTCCCAAGCAAGAGGCTCTGGCAGAAAGCTTTCCCCAGTCCCCACGTTCACATTTCACGGTACAGCCAGTGGTCCCCAGCAGCTCCCAGACTAGGTCGGCAGCGAGATGATACGCCAGGTCCTCATTCTCAGCCTCTGAAGACACCTACAGGAACACAACCCTTCCTGTTTCACTGTTTGTCATGTAATATCTACTTATTTTAAACACCTTAAAGAACACTCTTTTAACACTAAGTTCACCAGCTAGGTTTTGCTTTTTTTATTTAATAGAACAGTCTTAGGCAAAATAAAACAACCATGTTCTAGCTAAAGCTATCTTACATGACCTCACATTTGTGTTTCCATCCACCTGCAGCTGGCAACAAACCCTCACATGAAACTAGATCTTGGTATTTAGTAAAGACACTGCGTCCAACTCACAAGCATTAAGAGATACAAAGATTAATTACTAC